ACTCGAAATATCGCGCTAAAGATGAAAAATTTTGCCAATGAATTTTATATGGTTCTGCAGAGAATTGCTTGTTTGAACCATGACCTTCTTAGTTTTATTGATGATTCTCTTAATGTTCAAATGCTCAAACTCGAGTAACAGGACCAAATTGAGGATTTTCGACAGCCTCTCTTTTTTTACTTCTCACTGAAGATCTCAAATCGCACAGGTCCTTTTGCTGAGTATACGGCCGAGAGCCATGCCTCTCGGCATGCTTACAAGGGTGAAGGTATCCGGAGATTTCGATTCAGACCTCACAGAGAAGCAACGAACTTAATGCCCCACTGTGCGCAACAGAGAGCTGATGGGAGTACCTTGTTCACGGAGATTCATGCCAAAGATTGTAGAATTTTTATCATAATCAAGTATTACCTTCACTTGAATGCGGAAGTTGAACAATGGATGGATTATTCTCCAGCTTCTCTCTTCTTGCAACCTCGGCATCTTAGTTGTAAGTCTTTCAGTTGTTCTGTGCCTTACGAGGTTGATAGGTGGAACATTTATTAAGTGGCCTAACGTTTCGACTCAATCGTCGTCTTCAGAGGCCTGAACATGTTTCAAGTTTTAGATTCGCAACCTACCCCACCAAGCGCCTCGTCGAATCTAGCGGTTCCGACGTAGGGTCAGGAACCCTCGAGAAGACGCCAGTACCGCAAGAAGCAGACTCACCAGTTGTTCCACCGTTTAAGCGGATAGGTCCGCAGCCACACCAGAGCGCTGTTAGTAGAGAAATGAGGAATTCTACATTGTCTCCGTGTGATGACATATTGTGGAGACGCACGTCACGCTCTGTCATTTTACAGTCCGCAGTGGGGTATAAACGGTAGTAGGTCACTGGTGATGGAAGGACACTCATCTCGATTGTTCATTCTGGGTTTCTAGTGAATATCCAGAATGCTTCTAACGCTTTTCTAGCTGAAAGTTCCGTCTCATTTGCCAGCACACTGCACTTTATTTCGAATTCCAACCCATTATGTTCAGCAACCTTATGCCTCCCAAGAGCAGTTGTAAGAGTACCACGCCTCATGCTAGCAAGGTGTTCCTTGATGCGAATAGCCAAAACCCTTCCTGTTTCCCCTATATATGTAGAGTTACATTCCCGACACTGGATTTCATATATTACTCCCAGTTGCGCACAGTCACCAACCTTCCCGTGTGGGCATGTAACACAATTCTCTGATATGCACTGCTTGTCGTAGAGCCTATTACGAACCAGCTGCTTTTTGATGTTCTCGTTTGGTATATTCACCAACTGAACATCGTCCTGCAACTGGGCCCTTACTATGCTCCGTTTTATTGCAGCGCTGACCTTATCAGATATGAAGGGGATGCACAGGGGTATCTTGTTTCGACGTGGTACTTCTTGTGGGCCAATATGCCGCCTTCGTCTAGGGTGTGGTGCCGTATAGCCATTCATGACAGCTATTTTCATGGCTAGCTCTCGCGATTCGTTTCGTTCTTCATCTCCGTGCACACTCCCGTTGCCGTTCGGAACATGTTACGGACAACAGCGCGCTTCACGGCAATCGGATGTGCTGATGTAGCGTGCACCAGGATGTTTTTCGAGCTGCTTTTACGGTACCATTTACCCGAGTGATGCCATTGGATACCTTGACTTGCGTGTTGAGAAATGGTAGCCAACCGTTTTGCGGAGTTTCTCGCGTCAGTTTAATGTACTGTGACTGTTCATTCATAAGCCGGAAACACTCATCCATTTCGGATTGTGTTGATGTTATTATGAAACAGTCGTCTATGTATCTACAGTACATTAAGGGCAACCGCTCCAGCACCGGTTCTTCTATTCTACCCATGAAGCACACCTGCGAGCACTGGTGCAAGGCGCTGACCCATGGCTAGCCCTCTTATTTGAGAGTAGTATGTACCTGCCCATTTAAAGATGTTACAATCAAACATTCCTTGATTAATGCTTTGTCAAGTCCAAAGGTTCGTATAACAGCAAGATGCCTGTCTAGCATTTCGGACAATGCTTGTAGGGCTTGCTCGTTTTGGACATTAGTGTAAAGCGATGTAACATCGAATGACTCTACCACGGCATTGTCTGGGATATTACAGCGCCGTAGCTGTTCAAGGAAATGATTCGTATTTGGCAGGTGAGAGGGGACCATGGGTAGAAGTTGACTGACGATGGTGTTGAGAAACCATGATATTCGGTCGGTAGGGCCACCCACGCAACTTATGATAGGACGGATCTTATACGTATCCGCTGGCATTGGCAGCATATTATTCTGAGAGGCAAGTTTATGGGTCTTTAAAAGGCTGTAGAAAACTGGACATCTTGGGTTGTCCAGTTTCAGTCTACTAATGAACTTGTCATCAAGTCCTGCAGATTTTCCTATGCACAACCATGCACGGTTGAGACGTCTGCATTGTGATGAAAAGTCCTCTTCGCTGACACGGCGATATACGGTCGAGTCCCGCAAATGAACCTCGGTTATGGCACGGTCTAAGGATTGTGACATAACTACGAATTCACCGCCCTTGTCACTGACGGATATGCGTATGGAACCGTTTGATCTTAGCTCACGCAATTCTCTGAACCCCAGCCACTGTTCGGGTGTTAAGTTTGTATTTCGGAACCGTTTGAAGTTATTCAAAACGGCCAAAATACCTGTTGATAACATTCTGAACTTAACATCGACTTCATGTGATGGTTGAGGTTCTCTGTAGAAAGTGCGTGGAAACGGTACACACAGAGGCAATCCTTGATAAGGGCGAGTTGCGGCTCTTCGCGACGCTGGCTTTTGATGCGGGAGCGTCTCTAAGCCTTTGGAGACCCCCAACTACTTTTCGAAACACTTGTGCTGTGATGTTTTGAGCTGGCGAAAAGGACGGACCAAGACTCAACAAACTTAAAGCGTTAGAAGCATTCTGGATATTCACTAGGAAACCCAGAATGAACAATCGAGATGAGTGTCCTTCCATCACCAGTGACCTACTACCGTTTATACCCCACTGCGGACTGTAAAATGACAGAGCGTGACGTGCGTCTCCACAATATGTCATCACACGGAGACAATGTAGGTTCCTCATTTCTCTACTAACAGCGCTCTGGTGTGGCTGCGGACCTATCCGCTTAAACGGTGGAACAACTGGTGAGTCTGCTTCTTGCGGTACTGGCGTCTTCTCGAGGGTTCCTGACCCTACGTCGGAGCTTCGACGAGGCGCTTGGTGGGGTAGGTTGCGAATCTAAAACTTGAAACATGTTCAGGCCTCTGAAGACGACGATTGAGTCGAAACGTTAGGCCACTTAATAAATGTTCCACCTATCAACCTCGTAAGGCACAGAACAACTGAAATACTTAATGGATGGGTTCGGCAGGCACCTGTTCCTCAGGAGAGCCCTCGTTCGATGCGCCCTCGTTACAAGGTCCGAATTCCCATATATTGAGGCTTTGACCAATTTCAAGCATAAGTTTCAAGCTCATTCTAGTTCGAGAGCCGATAAAGTGAAAAAAATTGGTTGTCAAAAACTCACTTTCCGTCAACCTGGCACGAAACTTCAGTGAAAGAAAATTTTGCAGAAACCAAAAAATGAAGAAAGGCTCTCTCTCACCGCTTTTCAAAGCGGAAAATTTCCATCAAATAGTGTAGAACACATTGGGAACAATTATTATTTTCCATATAAAAACTCGTGTGGGGAAAATATGCCATTACTTATGGGCCAACCTAATAGTTGCGAGCCGCTCACTTATTTTTTTAAATACAACTATTACTCATCAGTTTTCGTTAAAACCGCTGCCCCTTAACCAAACAAAATTTCGCAGTGTGGAGCCCTTGACTCCTTGAAAAGCGACATTGGCAACGCTACACATGAGTCCCTATCAGTAATTATCTTTTTCTGCCATGAATCAGTCCCCTTCCCACGTCCCTACATCAGTTGTTGGAACTGTCCTCCTACTGCTGCTGCGACCCGCGCTATGAATTTATCTGTCCTTCCGAGACAAATGAAGATTTTGCGAGGAAAATCATTTCAAAATTATTTCACACATTCATTCATTTCATGCAAAAGAAACATTTCATACATACAAATATGCAAATCGACCCAAAGACTTAGTGTTTTATTCAATAAAAGGAACCTCACTTATTTCTCAGCTATAGTTTAATCAGATCCCTTTCAGTGGTTCGGTTCTAAAATTAACGCTCCTACCACACTAGACAGAAAAGAAATTTGCATGGCTGTAACTTTCAGACGCTTTCCAGTGGTGACGCGGGCGATATATGCACGTTTCAGATCGACAAAGGTAAGAACAATAGATTTTTCAACATTTCAGATCCATGAAGGTAAGAGATCATCTTTGTTCAGTGTTCGAGCGGGAGCACACCAGTTTATGTATTTGAATCCTGATTTCAAAGAAGGATCACAGAAACTTGAATTCTGAATAGCTTCTTGCGTAAATCAGTGGGTAATCATGATGTAGATCTAACGCTTTCTGACACTGTTCAGTCCCAGTCTTTTCGAGAGGTTTCTTTCCATTTAAATTTGAAGGCTCATTAAGCGTCGTACTGCAACACTGTAATTGTTTGCGAATTCTTCCACTCAACGTTCGAGAGGGAACGGTGCAGTCATGTACCCATTTTCGTAGAACACTAGTTCCGAATACTTTCGAAAGTCCTCGAGGTAACAGCTACTTTCAGCATATTCGTTGAAAGCAGCTCACAAGTCTTAGAATAAAAAAGCCTATTTAGTGGCTTACGGTACGTCTCCTCGATTGCAGACTGCAGTAGCACATCTAGCATTGACCTTTGTGCACTGCAATGTTTCGGACAGACAAAACAGACCGACATTGCCACGTATAAAGACCGCTAGTTTCGCGTATCGCACAAATCTGTGGTGCCTGCTAGCCTGCTATCAAAATTTTCCTGACGTCATCAAAGGAAAGCCTCGACTGGAAGTCCCTCGACTGGAAGTCTACTTTCGCAGCGGTTTCATCATTGATAAGCTCCATAACTGCATCCGCCGTTAGCCCATAGTGCTCCCTCAAGTTTATTAGAACCGGCCTCCTATCCACAAGACATCTTAAGCTGACCCTAGGTCTTGACCTGTAAAATACATCTGATTTAGAAAGACGCAGATATTGTCGTAGACTACTTCGCACCTCTCTGGTGATCTGTTGGCTCTTTGGAGATCGCTGAGTTGTTGAACTACCTAGCCTCTGGTTTATTTGCGAGCTTTTTTGTGTAGAGTTTTTACCAATCATAATTCCAATCATAGTTTTGTGATAATAGTTGTAGAGCTCAGATTGACCTGTCAGATCTCCCTCCTAGACTCCTCGAGTGAGGGCATTTTTTTTCATCACAGTAGGTCGACGTGAGCAAGACTCTCATAAATTGCCCACCATTGGTCATCCTGTCCTTGGCCTGCAAGCTTGAGTAGATGTCGTTCGCGTTTTGTACCAGGGATGGCACTTATCTTTGGAGTATTCCTTAGTAACATTTAACTCTTCTTTCGTTGCTAACTGCTTCTGTAAAGCGCGTCCCCAGCATTAACTGAAGCTGTACTGCTTCCTTCAACCCAGTGATTGGGTCTATTGTTCAGTTCGCTCAAACTATAGGAGCAGAACTTTTTTCTTATATTGTCATAGAAGTCCTTTATTTTATCGATGATAGACTGGAGACTCGTTTTAGCAAAGCAGATCTGTGATTAGGTCAGTAGCATGCATAGTCTCTTCACACTGGATCTCATCCAAGTCACTCGAGTAGGCGTAGTCTTCTTTGGAGTAAATTTTAAAATTCACCTCCAGAGACTTCAGTGTTGCAGTGTTATGCACTACTGATTTCCCGTATATTATAGACTCCATTCTTACCATCCTCTCTAGGCCACTTGACTTTTCCACTCTTTCATTCCCTCTGTAGGCTTCACTTTTTCACCTCTGTATCTCAAACTTGATCGAACACTCACGGCAACCTCTGTCGATGCTATAT